CATATTCATGCTTTGCAACATTGTTCGATCAGGGGTCATATCAGTCATGTGCTTGTATTGACCCAAAAAAGCTTGAGCTAAATCCCTCCAAGAACGTATTTGAGTACGTTTCAGCTGATTATACCATCTGGATGCAGACCCAGATAAACTGTCTTGGAAACAGTGGATCAACAACTTTTCATTCTCTGCATAGTCAGTCATACGACGACAATACATAGTGATATGATATGAAGGGCATGCGGTCCCATTATACTTCTCAAAATCTGGAACCTTGAACTTTGGTGGAATAACCAGGCCAGGGACCAAACTTAGTTCTTTGGCATCAAACCCATAAAATGACTCAACTGTCTCTATAGATTTTATCACCTCTTCTATATTTTCCAGTCGTTGAGTGAATTTTTCCTTCTCAACTGATTTGTTTAGGTCAAAGACCTCATTACTAATACAAAATTCATCAGGATTCAACTCAGAAGTAGTAGGACAATCAGTGGGGAACGATGCTCCAGTTTGATATGGTGAGTTCTTAACAGCGAAGTAAATCGGTGATTGAATTTCCTGGGGTACAGAGATGAATTCAGGAATATGAACAGGTGTAACACCCAAATAATTTATGGGGTTTTCAACAAGACTCTTTCCAGCGGTCTGGTGCTTCTCAATCATTTCTTTCATATTGTTCAGTAGATCAATATGAGAATTTGTGATATTAGCTTCAATTTGTGCCAACTTGCTCCTCAATTCCTCTTGTATTTCTTTCTGCTCTATCTCAAATTTGGCTAGCCTATCTTCAGTTTCTTTAGACATTTTTCTTGTGTCGTGCTGAGCGTTCTTGCTTCAAGGAAAAACCAAGATCACTTCGTTTGAAATCCTTATTTTAATGAATGAATGTTTTAATGTATTATGACATAAAAAATGCAAAGATGCCAAATGCAAATGTAAATATGTGAATGTAATAATAAGAATACAAATTGTGCAATACAAAAGCAAACATAAAAATACAAATGCAAAGATGCCAAATGTAAATATGCAAATGTAAAAATGTAAATGTAAATTCAAACGTAAAAATGTACAAATGCAAAATACAAATGCATGTATGAAAAGGTGTTACTCAAGAGTGATCATCTTAGAACAGATTTCATTGAACGCAAAAGTTTCGGTACATCAAACAAAACTTTACATATAGGGATATATTTCATTCCTAATTTCTCCAAAGCTAAATTAGTCTATCAGCTTAAGGGACATATTGCTTGTCTGGACTGCAACTTCTTCCATGACATTCTCCTTTATCTTATGTGTCACTTCTCGGAGTTGCTCATTTTCCCTTGTAAGAGAACCTTTCTGTCCAAGAAGTTCTTGAACAAGATCTTCATATATGTTGCAGCTCTTTTTCAGCTTGGTGACCCCTGTGATCCACTCTTCTGGGGTACTTCCTAGGCCAGCATTTTGAAAGGTTTGACTGATCTTCTGAAAATCTTCATGCATGGTTTTCATTTCTGTGCTCAATTTCTTGTTTTGGTCATTTAAGTCATTCAAATAACATGCTTGAGTTTCATAAAAACCTCTACTACTCTGAATGCCCTGACTGATGTTCTTACCATAGACTGCTTTTGGTATCAATCTGGTAGGATCCTTGTGTAATACTTTTGGTATTAATATAACCGGTTCTCTATGTACAGAACTTCCCTCGATCCTCGTAGTTTCTTCAGGATATCTTTCCTTGGCCGCGTCATATTTTGTTCGATCATAAAACTTTTTGTCCATTTATGATTTCTTTCCAATTTGATGAACAGTCTTTCCAGTTAACACCTTTTGGTTATGCCATGATCATGCAATGCAAACAAAAGAAAACAATATAAACAAATTAGAGCAAAAATAACATGCATGGGAAAATAAGAAAAAATAAAATGGTTAGTACCAACTAATTGAAAGAAAAAATTATTTATCATGGTATATAATAAATTCTAACCTCATGCTTTCTAGTTCCATGCTTTGTTTGGAAAAATTAACCTAATTGTATGATTACTAGTTCGCATGCATTTATTCAGAGAGAAAATTAATAAATTAAAAGCTAAAGTTTATTTCTCCTTTGTGTACACTTAGAGGTTCAGTACTGTCTTAGATCAGGATAATTTCTAGGGTTCATTATATGCAGGGTTTTGGTTCTAAGGGTAAAAGTACTCGAACTGTCCTTGTCGATGCCCCCTTGGGCTATCAAACCCTCAATCCTAGTCCATTACAGACTTAAGCGGATCGAGTTCAATTCGAGGGGACACATTTCTCTATGCCTGACACAGATAATAAATTCTCACGAAGACATAGAGCATATGAACCCCGAAAGTTACTTGGTAGGTCTGATACGGAGAATAAATTCTCACGTAGACGTCGCTTTCACTCCCACTTAAAAGGGACAAGCTTGATTATAAAGCTTATGTTATGCAATGCATGTGTTTGTGTGTGAGGAGAAATGTTCAAACCTCTGACAGACAATAAATAATAAAATTTAATACTTGAAAAATAAAATAAAACATTAATAAAATAATATAAATATTATGAAAATAATGAAATTATATAAAATTTTTGAAAAGAAAGAATTAAAAATTAAAAATATGAATTTTTAATTTTCTAATTGATAGAGACAATTAATAATTGGTTTTAAAGTTTGACGGTTTCCCCAGCGGAGTCGCCAAGCTGTCGTAACCGATTTTTGTCCGGGCACGAAATATTTATTTGGCGGGAAAAGTGATGTGAATAAATGGTTTTTAAAATAATTTGGGAGTCGCCATCGACCTTTTGGGTCAGGTAGGTCGAATACCTAAAAATCACCCTTTAAAAGAGTTTTTAAGAAAACATCGATTAAAAGATAAACTGATATGCGTTTTAACCAAAAATTCGTTCTTTTTAATAATAAAAAGGGATTCGTGGTCGGTTACGTTTAGGGAAGGATTAACACCCCTACAACGCCCAAAATTGATACTTTTTAATTATAAATTCTCTATTATTAGAAATTAAAAATTCAAAATATATTTAACTATTATTATTTCAAATTTATAATTTTAAGAAAATATATTAATTTATATAAATAAGATATTTATTTATTTAGAAATATCAGAAAAGAGCTTCTAGGTGCTTTAAGACAGTTCTTTTCTTTGATATAAAAATAAATAAAACATTTATTAAAAGTTAATATAGGATTTATAAAAAATAGGATATTTAGTAAAAATATCAGAAAACAAACTTTTAGGTGTTTTAAGACAGTCTTTTTCTTAATATTAAAAAATAAATATATATTAAAATATGATTATTAAAAGTAATTTATGAAATATAGGATTTTAATAGAAAACAAATAGAATAAATAAAAAAATATTATTATATATATATTTATTTATATAAAAAATAATAATAATGAAATAATAATTAAAGCAATAATAATAATAAAATAATATTGCAAATAATGATTAAAATAAAAGGAATTAAAAATATAGTATTAAAATGTAAAATATTAAAAATAAATAGTCAAAAATGAAAATTTAATGATTAAAATGTAAAATTATAAAACTAGAGTCCTAATTTGAAATATATAAAAGGTGGGCATTAAAAGTGTAATTTAACCATAATTCATAATACGGGATTAAAATAATAATTACTAAACTATGAGGGACTAAATTTGATATTTACCTAAATATATATATATATATATGCTGATAAGGACTAAATTAAAATAAAATAAAATAAAATTAGAAGACTAAATTAAAATAATCAAGAATTGATTTCAGTGACTAAATTGCAAGGTATACAAACTTGGAGCACTGCGGACGGGGTTTACCCTTTATGAAATTACAGAAATACCCTCCCCAAAACGGCGTCGTTTGGGAGAGGGTATTTAAATACACGAGACGGCTGGCCCTTCGGGCCAGCTCTCTCATTTCTCCATTCCCTCTTCTCTCTCAAAACTGAGAGAGCCAGAGTTCTCTCTGGCTTCTCTCTAAAACGAGAGAAACGGCACCGGTCAGCCACCGCTGTCGGGCTCCGACCACCGTTAACGGTGGCCGGAAATTACAAAACCCACCCCAAATCGAAGCCCCTATTTTTCTATACTCGAATCTAAGGTTGTTTTAGCTTAAAACCTTACCAATCGTGGTAGATCTAAGATAGTTCTCTTTGACGTTTCGGTTCTCCGGTGGCTCGTAGAGGCTCCTCTTTGGTAAGTTGCTTTCCCGTTTCTTCTTTATTTTTTTTTTCTGGTTGTTGCTGTGGTTGTTTTGTTCTTTTCTTGCTCTCTCCTCCTCTCTGTCTTCAGGCAAACCGAGGCTTTATAGCCTTGTCGAGACGTTCATCGGACCGGGTAATGGAATGGCCCTCAGTGAGTCACCAAACTATGGTGGTGACTCACCATAGGGTAGCAACGTGGATGGCTCAATGGCACTTCTGGAGGCTTCTTTGAGGGCGGCGGCAGCTGGAACGTCGACGTGGGGCGGCTGAAAACATTTGGAGGCGACAGCTGGGGTCTTCTGGAAGCAGCGGCGGCTGGGACGTGGCCCTAGGGTTGTGATACCCTAGGGTTTCCTTTGGAAGCTTTTGGACCGTTGGATCTTACCAGATCCAACGGTTGAGGTGGAGGCGGCTACTGGTGATGATACAAACCCTAGATGGGTTTAGGGTTACTGTTGGGCCATCTGGGTTTGGGTTTGGTCTCTTGTAACTGGGCTCGTCTGGTTTGGGCCGGACTTGGCCTGTTTGTAATAATAATAATAATATAATATAATATAATAATAATAATATTAAAACAAAATAATAATAATAAATAAAACAAATGAAATAAAAAACTAGTGTCTTCACTAGTATTATCAGTGAAAACCAACGGAGCCTTGGGTTGTCACTTCGATTTTGATTCTCTGGTTGCATCACTGAAATTGAATATTGAGTGGTTACTTGGATAGAGTGTTGTTTTTTTGGGTGAAATTAGAATTCCGGTTTGAGTTTTTAATTAACATTTGTTCTTCTAGATGTGTGGCAACGGTGTGCGCTGTTTTGCCAGATTCATCGCTGAACTTGAGAATTTACATGGGAAGCAAAGGTACAGTTAATGCCTTGTTATATTTTTCTGTCATGATGTTGCTTTATGCATTTGTTTGAAGCAATTTTTTATTCTCTTTGCCTGTAAGTGCAACTTCATTGTTGAAAAGAACAGTTTGTCTTTGGCGTCTCATTCTCTTTCTCTAATTTTATGCAGTTTTACTGTGCATACTGGTGCGGGTTTAATTGTCCCTGAAATTCAAGAAGATGGGAAGGTATTTTATTGGAACCCTATACATTACAGTACTTTGTATATGGCGCTTAATGCATCTAACTTGAAGCAAACTGATCTCAGGTTAAAGTTGATATGGGCGAACCAATTCTTAAAGCATCGGATGTTCCTACAAAGTTACCAGCTAATAAAGATCAAGCTGTTATTAAATCTGATCTTAATGTAGATGGAGTACTATGGAATGTTACTTGCGTTAGTATGGGAAATCCACATTGTGTGACTTTTGGCAGTGAAGAAAGCCAGGTTTGTTTTTGGATAATGATTGATGAAAAGATTAACCTGGAGCTTATATTTATATGAACTATTCGTAATTATATGTACTCTACAATAATTGAATATTTTTGCTCAGTATATACTGTATATCTGGTAAACTGTTTGACTCAAGGTATGACTTGTAGCAGAAGACAAGACATCTATCCCCATGCCCAACTTTCTTGGTATATAAATTATGTGCTCGAGTATCATAAACCTTTCACCCTTTGGTTCAAGTAAAAAAAAATGCTAGGAACAGTTAAAAGAGCTACTTGCTTTTGCCAATCTTGTATCATTATAACAAACTATTCATCAGCTCCTGCTAAATTGTCTCTTGCTTCCATTAAATTACTTGTTCTAAAAGGAAATGGATTCCTTGACTGGTTTCTTGAAATACATATTTCTTGTTCTTCCTTCTATTCTTTTTTGCATTTCTAATATATCCTTTTTTTGCTTAATGATTGTGATCGAGCAGAATTTGACTGTGGATGAACTAAATTTAGCAGCAATTGGTCCTAAATTTGAGCATCATGAAATGTTCCCGGCTAGGACTAACACAGGTTTGTTTTTATCTACTCTCTTAGATGATATTCAGCGATTAGTTCCACGGATAACTTCTATTATCACAGCTTCATGCTTTTATTAGTTGATGAAATGGTTCTCCTATTGCATGATTGTCATTTATTTCCTTTTGTTAAGCAAACCCTCTCTCTAACTGTGGTTGTGTCTTGTCTGGTTAGAATTTGTCGAAGTTTTTTCTCATGAGCACTTGAAAATGCGTGTTTGGGAGCGCGGAGCAGGTTAGCTTTACCTACCATGTTCATGTATAAAATGGGGGTATCATTTTGGATTAGGTTTTGTTCTTGTTAAAAGCTCATTTCAATCGCCTTTCACAGGAGCAACACTGGCTTGTGGAACCGGAGCTTGTGCTGTGGTGGTTGCTGCTGTTCTTGAAGGACGTGCCGGAAGGGTAAGTTTTCTCGCTTGATGTTTAAACCCCCAATGTTTACTAAAATAGTTATTTTGGCTCCCTATTCTTTTTTCTTTTGGGAGCATTTTGACCCCTAACGTTTTTATTTTAGGGCAAAAAGGTCTCTAAAGTTTGACTCTCATTCTTTTTTTTGAGCATTTTGACGCTCAAGGTTTCATTTTAGAGTAAAAAACCCATATTTTGGAGCATTAACCGTTTGATAATTAATGGTTTCCACCCTAGAGGGGTCTTTTTGCCCCAAAATGAAATGTTAGAGGTTCAAAATGTTTCAAAAAAAAGAAAAAGAATATGGGTTAAAATGACTATTTTGATAAACGTTAGGGGCTAATTTTGATATTATGTTATGTTTAAACTGCGGTAACGAAATAAGGTGAATCAGCTTATGTGCATGAGATTAGACATCGAGGTGTTTTCATCTCAAAAGTATTTCACATGGTTTTCTTAAGGCAAAGAGTTGGAATTGATTATTCATTATGTGAAATAGAGTTGCACGGTGGATTTGCCTGGAGGCCCTTTAGATATTGAATGGAAGGAGGAAGACAATCACGTGTACATGACCGGCCCGGCTGAAGCAGTGTTCTACGGATCAGTTGCGGTGTGATGATTCTAATATTGCTAAGCGCCTGCATGAATTTTGTAGGAAAGAGAAATCTACTTTCTGCATCTTACATTTGATTTGAGGCTTTTCCATCATTAACGCGGTTAATCTTTTGGGTCAAATAATTATTACTCTGCTAGCTTCGGTTGGTGCTTTCCCGTAAATTTGTTTGATTAGACAAATCATGCAGATAATTTCTTATTAACTCTATAGTAGGATTTAGTCCTTGTAGAGTAAAACCTTTTTAACTCCATTAATGAATTAAAATGATATTCAAAACCGTGACCCAGGATTAGATAATTTTATATCAAGAATGATTAATCACTGGTTTATGATTTCAAATGCAAAATAGTTTTATAATTTCTTATGCTAATATTTTAACTAATCAATAAATTGAAATACGGTTTCCATAATGTTGTTCTCTCTATATGTCTCGTGTCTGAGCAGTTTAAATTATTAAAATAGTAATAATTTAGTTGCATTACTCGTGTAAATAGAATTTTAAAGTCTGCATGTTTTTTTATCATGTACATGGAGATTTAAAAAAAAAAGGGGACTAAAAGTCAATTTTTTTCTTGAAAGGATGTAGTAAAAGTTAATAGGTCTTTATCATCTTACACTAGGAATCGGTTCTACATATACAAATCCAATGTTATGTCTATTAATATTAAACTTTTGATTTGGTTGTCGTAAATTAATTAGATATTATTTTGTTAATATACTTCACAATGTGTTTTTATTATTTTAATTTTTATATGATAGTTAAATGAATCATTAATTTGTTAATTAAATATTTTTAAAATATTTATTTTAATATCATTTTATCACTTTACTTGTGATATCCGATCTATCAATCTGATAAAAAAGATTAAATATTTTTATTAAAAAGGTGAAAATTATGGGTTGGATATCTGATTTATTAAACAATATGACCATATGACTCGAATATAAAACATAATATCTAACTATGAATAAGTATCCAATCAACTTTCAGACAAATGATTTATTTAAAAAAAATAACAATTGACAACACATTTTATGCAAACGTAATTACTCGAAGTCAAGTTCCTTGAAAAAATAACATTTAAGATATCACTCATTAGGTTAAGTATGAACCATTTTTTTAACTACATGATAAAATAAACATCTAATCTTTTAAGTATCGAAAAGCAGTGGTAGACGTAAGTGGATTTCAGGGTGAATATGTGTTCATTCTGAAATTTGAATTTCTTAATGTTAATTGTTCATTTTACTAATAGTATTTATCCTAAAAAATTTTTTATCTACGCTATATAAATTATTTTTATTAATAATATATACATACTCACTCTAAAATAAAATATATTTGTGATGAATACCTGTTTATAACACTCCTATTAATTAGTAATAAACGCAATGCTAATGGATGCCTAAAAGCTAAGAGGGCCTAGTTTTCTTTGAGATCAAATTCGAAAGCGTCTTATTTGAATTTTCATGGGCCCACATGTTCCAATGGCTCTTACATTTGAACAAACGCTGCTGCCATATATATACTTACTAGTAAAAAATGTTCAAAACTAAAATTGAAAAGACAATAAAACAACCCAAGTTTCACTTCTACAAATCCAAATTAAAAAAAAGGAAAAACAAGAGATCTTTGCAAATCAGCGTCTCAGATTCTACTTCAAAAGGTTTCTCATAAAGGAAGAATTCAGGTAAGATTTTCAGTTTGAAATTTATAATCATTTTCAATGCACACATTTGTTTCAGTTTCAATACTCATCGAATGATTTGATTAGGTTTTCAAAAAAAAAAAAATTGAACTAGAAAATCCAACGAAGAAACGATGTCGCTCACTCCAGATCAATTTAGAAAAACTGCAATGGGAGGATTAGTACCATCTCCTTTCCTCATTCCCCGCCCCGATCGACGTCGTGTTGACTCTAGAGGAACTGATTGGCTCTCTAATCTCCAAAATAGAAATAAAGAGGTTAATGCCAAAGTGCTGCTTAGATGCATGTATTTTTAGTTTCTCAACTTAATTTATTTATTATTTAACGTTTTTGTAAAATATATATAATTTAGACCGGTATATTCTTTTTCCTTGATGAATCTGAGTTTTAGGCCGTTAAGCGAGGATGAGCGGAGGACGAATGTTCCGAGAGTGATTTCGTGTAATGAACTTAAAAGGGAAGTTACTGTTTTGCAAAATGTAGCTAACAACCAGCTTCAATGTTATGAAAATGATCCATCTTATTAGGGTTGTTTCAAATTCACAAGATTAATTGGATTTTGTTTTACATTTGCAAGGTTTTTGGCCCCAAGGCCCAGCAATGAACAATATATGATCAAATCAAACTATTGCCCTCATTGTTAATGAAGTACTTGATGTTTTCAACTGTACTGTCTTTGCCTATGGACAGACTGGCACTGGCAAAACATATACAATGGAGGGTGGGATGAGAAACATGGTATAAGACCGTTATCATCAAATCAATGTTTTGTTGAGATTTTGTATTTGATGCACCATTTTATGTTAAGGATTTATGTTAAATACAGGGTGGGGACTTGCCTGCTGAGGCTGATGTTATTCCAAGAGCAGTGAGACAAATATTTGATACCTTAGAGGCCCAAAATGCTTATTATAGCATGAAAGTTACATTTTTGGAGCTCTACAATGAGGAAATAACTGATTTTCTGGCTCCTGATGAGAGTCCAAGATATGCTGAAGATAGGCAAAGAAAACCAATCTCTTTGTTGGAAGATGGAAAGGGTTGTGTTATTATGAGAGGTCTAGAAGAAGAAGCCGTATACACTGCTAATGAAATCTACACTATCTTGGAACGTGGAGCGGCCAAAAGATGTACCGCCGATGCCTTGTTAAACAAGCGCAGCAGGTTGGATTTGTTTGTTTCATTTGTTAATATTATGCTTGGTATTTAAGAACCTTTTGACTAAAGTCACTTTCTTTGCCATGAAGCCGTTCTCATTCTGTATTTTCCATCACTGTCCACATTAAAGAGTAGGCTGTGGGAGAAGAGGAATTGATCAAATGCGGCAAGCTCAATCTGGTTGATTTGGCAGGATCTGAGAATATTTCACGTTCGGGTGCTCGAGAGGTAGGGAAATGTAAATTTTAGTTTTTGAAGCCTATTACCTGGCACTTAATTTCTTTTATTGATTATACAGTCTTGGAATTTGACATGTCTTTGAAGGGTCCGGTCCCCTCCACACCCCCCAAATTATTTTTCTGTCCATTACTTTCTAATACATGGCTAATTACCAATTATAAGTATGATTATTAAATGGATCTACATATATAAATGATAATGATGGGTATATTTTAATCAGTACCTGTGAAGTTTTTTCATCAAATTGAATTTGCAGGGTCGTGCAAGGGAAGCAGGAAAGATTAACAAGAGCTTAATTACCCTTGGCCGTGTCATAAGTGCACCTGTGGAGCATTCAGCTATACCATACAGGTTTGCTTCCTTAAAAGTCATTTTCGCACATTGAGTTGCTTGTAAATTTCTTTTAGTAACTGTTTTCGTGTGGTTACCAACACTCTTTGCAGGGATAATAAGCTGACAAGGCTCTTGAGAGATTCTTTGGGAGGGAAAACAAAGACCTGCATTATTGCCACAATATCTCCATCTGCTCATTCCTTAGAAGAAACATTGAGCACCTTGGATTATGCCCATCGGGCTAAGAATATAAAAAATAGACCAAAGTGTCGAAACGATTTTTGAAGAGCAGGGGGCGAGATTTTAAAAACCACGTCATTTTTTAATTATTCTCTTTTCAATTGAATTTTTAATTAAAAACAATGTGATTTTTAGAAAACCTCTCGTTTCGAAAATTTGGAAATCCTTTTACGATAAAAACATGTAGTTTGAGGAGTCGCCACCAATCTTTGATTAGAGTGTGATTGGGCACCCAAAAATCTTTTGTCATTTTAAATCAAAATTAATTTTAATTAAAACGACAAGTAGAGGTCTGCATTATCAAAATCTGAGTTCGAGAGTCGATTACGTGTGAGGAAGGATTAGCACTCCCACAACGCTCTAAATCGGTACCTAGTCGATTAATTAATGTATTTGCAACGAATTTCACAAGTTCGAGTTTAATTTGATTAATGATCACTTTAAATAACAAAAATGTAAATTTATAACATTGAAAAGCAACAAAATATGTTAATTTAAAATTACCAAGTCATTAGAAAGATAAAGGATATTCGATTATTTAAAAATATCGAGACCATATCTTTAGGTGAGTTCTAACAACCTTTTCTCAAACAATTTAAATAGCCGAATATTTCTTTTTCTTTCATTCCTAAATTTTAAAGTGATTAATCCAAATTTAATTAGGCGTTACTGACGGGATATAATTTTAATTTAAAATTGTCAAAACAACTCTCTAGTAAGTTAGGAGAAACCATTCCGACAATTTTAAATTAAAAGAATATTACCTTTAATCTAATTATGTAACGACGCGAGTCATACACACGAGGTTAACATACAATATTAAAAATTATCTAATTAATAAATAATATATGAAAAACTAACATGCACTAACATTACTTAATGTATTAATATGTAACACACTAATGGGACTTAAATACGAAAAATAAAAACATAACATACCAAACTATGAGAAAAACTATACATATTACACTAATAACCAAATTACATTAAACCGAATTTTAATATCTAAAATATAAACAAAATAATAATTGAAATGAACATATGAGTAATACACATAGTAAATAATGAAACCAGAATAAAACAAATCATCACCATAATGGACTAAAATTATAATAAACCCTAAACATACATAGGACTAAAAAGAAACATGCACCAATGTAAAGATTAAATGTCTAAAAACAACAAAAATTAAATACACTACTACTTGGGACTTAAATTAAATACGGAAAAATATAGAGACACAATCAGAAAACTCGAAAATCATGATATAAGGATCAAAACGCAAGATTCTGAGAATAAGAAGGCCAAATTACTAATAAAAAGATTGTATTCGGGGACCAAAATAAAATAGGTTAAACATACAGGACCTCACGCTAATAACCCCTAAAACACGGTGACCTACAGATAATTAACCCTAAAATTTCCAATATATATT